ACTCTCGCTCTACGGCCGACTTGCTAACTGCTGTAACTGAAAGATTTTATCGTGCATTAGATGGAGGCGGTGAGGCTAGGGCTATTGCTCTCGACATATCTAAAGCTTTCGACAAAGTTTAGCATGCTGGTCTTCTCCATAAGCTTGCTTTATATGGTGTTTCTGGGAAAGTTTTTGAGGTTATCAGATCATTTCTTTCTAACCGGTTTATTAAAGTCATCCTTGAAGGCCAAAACTCTTTTTTATTTCCAGTAACTTCTGGGGTTCCCCAAGGTTCCATCCTGGGCCCTGTTTTGTTTTTTATCTACATAAATGATCTTCCTGACAACCTTCATCTAAAGTAGCTCTTTTTGCTGATGACTTAACTTTATACTCCTGTCTTGACAAAAAGTCTTCTCTTTTTGATCGCCTAGAACAAGTAGCTGATCTTGAATCCGATCTCACTTCAGTAATAGATTGGGGTTAACAGTGGCTTGTGAATTTCAATTCTAACAAACCCAGTTGTTTACTGCAAACAACTACCGTAATATGGTCAACATTCCTATATTAATGAATGCCAATCCTCTTACTGAGTCCTCCTCTTTAAGTCTTCTTGGATTATCAGTTACTACTGACCTTTCATGGAAACCATATATACAATCGATTGCTAAATTAGCTTCTGCTAAGGTTTGTTCTCTTTATCGTGCTCACCATTTTCTTACTTTCGATTCCCTCCTCTACCTCTACAAATCACCTATTCGCCCCTGTATGGAATACTGTAGTCATATTTGAGCTGGTTCTTCTGACAATTCACTTTCTTTTCTTGACAAGGCCCAAAAACGTATTGTAAATGTTGTTGGACCTGGACTATCTGCTAAGCTTGAGCCTCTTTCCCATCGTCGTAAAGTTGCATCTCTTTCTCTTTTCTACAAATACTATCATGGTCACTGCTCAAAGGAGTTATCATCTCTTGTTCCATCAACTAAAATTCATTCTCGTTTTACTCGTCATTCAGCTAAGTCTCATTCGTTTACTGTATCTGTCCCTGCATGCTCAAAAAACTTTTATTCATCTAGTTTTTTATCCCTTTTTCACTTCAATCCTTTGGAACTCTCTCCCATCTTCATGTTTTCCTGACTCATACAACCTTCAACTTTTTTTTTTTAACTTCAACTTCAACAAGTCTTCTGTCAACTGTTTCCTTGCTCTATAACTATGTTCTTTTCTTTTCCTAGTAACTCCCAACTTAATAGTGGTTGCTTGTAGCTTTGTTGGGAGTGAATGCAAATAAAATAAAAAAATAAATATTGAAAGCAATATACAAGAGCAAATATAACTTTGTTTTAACCTCCTTTTATTCTTAACTTTTAATTTTGATAACAACCATATAAACAAGAAGTCTCTATAGCTTTATTGATAGTTTTACAACTCAGTTATAAGTATGGTTTTGTCTTGCAGCAACAATAAATTTATGTTAGATGAGAATGTATATCCTAACTAAATCTAGTGTTCACATACTGTTTCAGCAATTAAAGTAATGAACATTTTTATCCAATGATAGACACTTGTTTTCATAATTAACAAAACATGACAAGATGTTTTGCATTATTATATTCAAAAACAAAAATTTTTGTTTATTATTTTCTATAAAAGATCATTTTAATTTTATAAATCAATTTTCTGACAGATTTAAGCTAACAAATTTAATGGGAATAATTTGTATGAAATGATCTTAATTTTTTGAAGTTGAAGTTGTGATCAGATCCAAAACTTATATTTAAGATACACACATGTCAATTTAAGACCTTTTTAAGGCACACACAAGCTAATTTAATTGAATAAAGCTAGTTTAATTGATTATTGTTACTGACTCCATGTAAATTATTGCACCAAAATTGATTAAAAATTTTTAACAATTTTAAATACTTTTTAAAATACTATATTTACAAAAAAAAAAATAGGTGGTAGAAATCTTCTTTTTTGTATAATTAACTGCACTTAACCAATATTTCAATCCTAATTTATGTATGTTTGGTTGTGAAGAATTGAGATATTAATATTAATTTCTTTTAAAAGAAAGAAGTACAAAGGAATGTCTGACTAATAAATTGCTTCAAATTAAAAAAAAATAGTCTCAGTTAATCAATTGCTTAATTTATAACATAAATAAAAAACTCTGCCATATAAAAAGATCTGTCACAAAGCGAACTTAAATTTGGCTCACCTTTTGACAGATCTTTTTGCAGATCTGCACATTAAAAAAGAAAAAAGTCATAATTTAAAAACGATAATTTTGAGACAGATCATTTTGCAGATCTGCACAAATTAATAAAGAAAAGAGACATAATTTAAAAATTTTCCCTAAGAACTGGCTTGTTGCATTTAGCAGACAATGGAAGCATAGGCTGATCAAGTTAATATTTATCATTTCAAAAAAGGCAGAGCAGAGAAACTTACACATCAAAAATTTTGTCAAAATTGAATTGCCTTGAAAGCTGACCAAGAATGCATGGATATATTCAATAACACTATTTCCCTGAGAATAATCTGAAACTGCATTAATAAACTCTAATACAAAAAAATAACTTTAAGCAAAAACTGGGGTGTATTTAGCTGCAAAAGATTTAAAGGCTGAGACAAATACATAAAAATAGGAATACAAAAAAAGCAAAAAGAAAGAAACAGCAGCATTGATTAAGCAGATAATATTCAGATAAAAGAAAGTGTTGTTGAATAACAAAAGCCAAAAAGAACAGTAACAAAGTTAGTGTTAAATAATGAAAACTGACAAAGAATCAATTTATTCCTCAGAAGATGAAAATTATGTACCTAGTTTAATTAAACATTATTGAAAAGTTTCATTGTAAAAAATGCGTAGAATAGCTGTTTAAAGTCAATGTATTTTATAAATTAAAATAAAAATCATAGCAATAATTTTTTTCATTTTATAAAATGAAACAAAACAATGATGTTTATGAGTAACTTTTTTTTCACAAGTTTATAAATGCTGTTGGTTGTGTGTTTGTTTTTTAAAGTTTTAGGTTTTATACTGTTAAAAATAGTTGTATGTAATTTGTTAAAATCTTATCTGTAATTGTCAATATAAAAAATAATCAAGAAATAAATTCAAATCTCATTTAAAAGGTGAAATTATTCCTAAGATAAAATATTACAAAGTAATAGTTCAACAAATTACTACAAAGTAATAAATTAATACATTATGCTGTAACAATACTATTATTAATAATATATTTGAAATATTACGTTTATGTTGATTTATAGGATGCTGTGCAATTGGTATTGTAATTAATTTTAACAGAGTTTGTAAAGTGAATTACAAGTGAAAAATGGGGTAAAAAAACAACAACAAATAAGAGTAAAAAATAATTAAATATAAATATCAAGCTCTCAATGGTTTATTCATAAAAAAATTGTATTGAAATGAGGTATTAAAGTTAAATTATTTATTTCTTGTTATGTGCACTCAATTGGTGACAAATTTAATTTGTCACGCGGTAAAGCATAAGATGCTTGTCTAACTGGATAAACTAGTTATTAGTGCTAATCTTCATCGAAATGCCAGTAAACGCCATAGATGCGACTCTGAGGAGATTTTTATTACTCAACCACTACACAAGTTATTTCAGAATTGTAAACCGAACAAGTTCATAAATAATGTCTTTCATAATCCAACCCATTCAAATGGATTAGGCCACAATGGATTCTCATAAAATGATTGTGACCAGCACTATGAAACCTGGTTAACAGGTCTAGAAATGCTATTGTGAAGCATCTTGTGTAGGCGGTATGGCTTCTCCTAAACATTAGTTTTTTGAAAATAAGTCTTTTTTGGATTCATTTACACTACTGTAAGAACTTGTAGTATCATATTGTAGCACAGCAAATCTTTCAATTAAGTGAAAAATACTATTGATATCATACTCCAAGGGGTAAATAGATGTTGATTGCAATGCATTAATGAGAAAATTTTCCCACGATTTCCAAAAAAAGTTTTTTTTTTTCAGAAAAAAATGCAACTTGATCATAACCTATCATTGTGTAAAGGAGGTAAGCATTGATGTTTTAAACTAAGATATTTTACAATGACTCAAAAAAATAAACTAACTCTATATTTTAACAATATATTATAACAAAATATTCTATTAATTATTAATAATATTCTATAAAATTCTTGTAAAATTTTGTACATTGCCATTTTCTTTAAAAAAAAATTAGTAATCTATTTTTGCATGCTAACTTTGTAAAATTTTTCCACCTGAATTAATAACGTTTTAAGGGTTTGTAACTTTTTATCAGTTAACATTTTCTACATCTCAATCATGTTTAATCTAAAAATCTCTTACTCTTCCTTGTTTAGAATACTATATTTCAGCTGTTCTTTTAAAGTCCCCTTCCTTTAATTCACTCTCTTTTAGATAAGGTCCATTGACATTGAGTCTACATCCGATTGTCATATGTTTGACATTGAGTCTACATCCGATTTTCATATGGTTGACATTGAGTCTACATCCGATAATCATATGGTTGACATTATACATATGGTTGACAGTCTACATTCGATTGTATTATTGTTGAATTTCTTTCTCTTTTCTTTAAATAGTACTCTAGCCACTGCTTAAAATAAACTATGATTATTTGTTTATTTAACCAAAATTAAATCTTTTATATCTTTTAGATGAGTCCCATTATTTTAATGTTATTATTCCATCATGCTCAAATTACATCTATCCATTTAGTTTTTTTCCTCAGTGCTTTAGGATTTCTTTAGTACTTTAGAATTTCTTGTACTCATCTACTTATTTACTCAGTGCTTTAGAATTATTTCTTGTCTTTATGTTTCCCTGACAATTTACAGTATGAATCTTCTGCTAACTATTTTCTTTACTATATTATGCATACATACATTCTGTATATGTGCGTAATGTAGTATTTAAAATAAATTTAAAAAAATTTATGTGCCTTATATAGTATTTTAAAAAAAACTTTAAAAATTCACGTACCTAAAATCCATATTATTCCAGTACAACCAATCGTTCTGTACCCAGAGAACAAACTTCCTATGATAATTTTTTACTTTTTTAACACAAAAGAAGATTTTTTTAACTTTACAAAAAAGTTAGAAAAAATAATTAAATAAATAATCAAATATAACAAAAATAAAAATAATATATATATATATATATATATATATATATATATATATATATATATATATATATATATATATATATATATATATATGAGTTAAATGTATTGTGTTGAATTAAAAAATTTTGTCAAGTGATTTTCTACTAATTTATATATATATATATATATATATATATATATATATATATATATATATATATATATATATATATATATATATATATATATATATATATATATATATTATATATATACACATATATAAAAATGCAGCATTAGATTCACGGAAATGACGTCATAAAAAACAGGAAGTTGTTGGGGGCCTGACTCGCAGCGGAGTGCTGCAAGATCAACTGAGGGTTTGGCATAAGGCAGCAATGTCAAAATATTTTTGAAATTTTGACATATTACAGTTATTGCATAAGTATATTACATGTATTTATGATATAATATGTATTTTTTTACAAATCTTTTCAAATTTGATCTAGGATTTATTTTATAAACACTTTCAATAGCGAAAAATTTTTTGCGCAAAAACAAATTAATAAATATGTTTTTTTTAATATCAAATTTAATAGTGTAATAAAAAGTACTAGTTTCTATAAGCATTAAATTAATTACAGGGTGTAAACAAAGGAGTAAATTTGATACAGGATTTCTAACAAAATAGGGAATTTGTCAAAATAATTTTAAATCTTTTCCCTCCGTCCTCTCCCACCCCATCCCTGCCGAGAGTAAAATGTGTTTGTGGGGTCTTTTTATTTTTTTTGTCTTTTTCTACTCTAAATAAAAAATACTGTAACATTTATTGAATATGATTAATATGAAATCAACACAAAATTAAATTGGCTTAAAATGACGCAGCAAATTAAACTTTGATTATTAAGAATAATATATTTTAATATTATTTTAATCAGTAT